AAATCCAACTCGAATAGCGCGTGTTTCTTGTCTCTTTTTTTTCTTGGAGGTAGATCATTACGTGGGATCGTACCTTGTACGGCTAACATACTACACCCAGCCCTCATCTTCTGTGAAGAAATTCCGGCCTGTCTCATCGCAGAAGCCGGTGGTTGCACAAACCCACAAACAATGGGATTATGTTCGAAATTGGTGCGAGACATTGGAACCAACCCAATATCCTGCTTCCGCACCACAGTGCACTACTACGTATACCTGGGGTCTATATGCTTAAGAATCTAATCACGAGTCGACTTATGGGCAGAAGTCTGATTCCAGGCGAAACTTGAAATGGCTTGTCACGCTTTCCTGAGGAAGAGGGCGCTATCTGTTTTGCCACCACGGTCGCCTTCTACCCTCTCCGCTTGATGGATTTTATGCCATGGCCTAGCAGCACTCACACGTTTACCATGGGAGACGCGATCTTGCCTTATTGTTAGATATCTGCAGAATCGTGACGCTAAGGCTTCACAACTTTTTGAAATAAAATGTATTTTAATACTTCTGTATAAGTTATTTGTTCAAGTAATAAAATTTCACTTTTTTGGCATATTATATGGGTGAAAGTAGTGTTATGGTATAGAGTTACCTTGCTGTCACAACCCTCACTGTTTTCACGAGAACACTTGCATGTGTGACGACAGTTTCTTCCGAATACAAAGCTGGGGCAAGGCCTGAAATTGTTATGCTCATTCAGCAAGAGTCGAAATATTCAGCAAACAGCATCCATAGTGGGAGAGGAAACAGTTTCTTTATTGGCGTAGGTGTGCAGAGCGTACCAAAGTGGGATTGTGCGAGCATGAACACGGGAGCAAATAACAATTTTCTATCGCTCTGTGCGTAAGCAGCACAACACTGGCCTATGAGCTAAAGTTGCTCATCCGCATCTGACTCCAAATTAGGACGATTCCTGGTCAGGACCTGCCTTTGAGCAGGAATGTACTGTGATGCTCTCCGGAATAAGATCTAGCGAACAGGACAACCGTTCGGTGGCAATACGGGGGCCGTGAGTACACATCGGTACCTCTCATGGGCATGTTTCCAAAGGCAGAGCCCACGATCACTTATGATCACCTAAGCTCTTCGTAATGAGAGGTAGTGTGGATTGCAACGAACAACCCAAAGTGAGGCGCAAGCATTCTCAAGTGACTCCGCCCACATTGATAGATTTCTCATCTGCTGTCGTCGCTGCGCTCGTTTGCACTACTTTGTCTGGCCTCTCTTCCGACATCCATCAGTTCATCATCGGTTTGTTGTCTCCCGCTTGACACAAGCGTTTTCGACTTTTTCCTCTTCTTTTTCTTTGCGGGCGAGGTAACTAACACAGACCCCTGTGTTTTCAACCCCGCTACCCAAGTACTTTTCGCTGCCTGATTGTGAAATTCTGCCTTTGAAGCGCGAACCATAGGAATAACCATAGATTATTTCTGCAGTAAGAATCAGACCAAGTCTTTAACTCGTCTATCGATATTTCTCCAAAGGCAAACTTCGCGATGGGCCACAATCGCATGTAGCGCGGCTGCGAAACAGAACTGTATGTGCTAACTGACTCACTCATGAGAAAAAAAAAGGAAAGGAAATCGTCAAGAAG